CCAGGACCGCCCACCTCCGGAAGTGGTGCGTGGCTGGCATAACGTGTGAAATCAGCTAGGTTGATTGCCGTATCAACCGCGATAGAACGAGCTACAGATATAACGAAACTAAGCGAATGATCTCTATTTTCTAGTAGGACTACTATGCTGACCTAATGACTATTGCACTTTTGACAAGAGACGGTGTTTCATTGTCTTCGAATAAATGATTTTCACTCAGATGTCAGAATAATACAGCTTGTGAGCCGTGACCTGTATAACACTTTATTCGTTTTACGTTTCTGCGCTATTGCCTTCTTCTCTAATGAATAAAATGCCAAAATTCATTTAGAGTCGAATGTAGACGATTTTCAGGCATTTTTCACTTCCAATTCTGGCGATATGGTCAATGGATTGATGTAGTCGTAGATGATCGATTACCAACTGTGGATGGACGGCTTTATTATATGCATTCACATGAGCACAATGAATTTTGGAGCGCCTTACTGGAGAAGGCGTATGCGAAGTGGGTCTTTGAACTCACTTTCAGAAACCAAACCCTTTCCCGATTGAATGAAACTATTTCCCGTAGATTAGGTACGCATGCTTCCGGCTCACCATTGAAACTATTCGATTTCGGAGCTTGAACGTGCGTGACAAGGCACGAGACACTATTGGCGTAGGCCTGGTAACGCCTCTTAGGAAAGGATCCCCCTAGAAGGAGTGAATGAATCAAATGATTGGCGGATGCTTTGGTGTCTGCGTCTCGCTCGTTCTTTTACATCCTCGTCTCATCGATCTCCGCTTTCTCTTCTCTCCTCATTGTCTTTCCGCCGCGAGCACCTTCTTTGCTAGAAGAGAAGCAACTGCAAAATATTGTTTTCGAGGGCACCTTCAATGGTTCCTTTCGTTCTTTGCCAATCGCAGCCTTTCTGAATTCCCTGCCTCGAATTTCCCGCACGAATTAAGGGGAACTTGTCAGGTCAAAAACAGGAAAAATATTCTCGAATTATGAACGTGCTATTCACACTATATTCTTTTCGTTCATTCTTTTTCAGATCTCGCTCTATTCTTTCCTCTGCCTCTTTCTCTTCTATCGCTGGACTACGTTTAATTGGTGCACCATTTATGACTGCAGCCTAACATGTCACGACAAAAACCCGGTCCCATTGATCGTTGTCAGAATATTGTACGGGTTCTGTGATGCCAAAAATGGTAGAGGGGAAGAGCATCGAGATATTCCACATTTTTTTTTGGATGGAATAACAAAATACGGCCGTTTGTTGCAACCTTGTTCTCGAGTGCCTTCGAAAGTGACATCTCCCTTTTTATTTACCTTTCCTGCATTTTTACAGACTATATGGCTCTTATGAAAATCTCGAAGGTGGTACTACAGCTGAAGCTCTTGAGGATTTCACCGGTGGCCTCACAGAATTCTACGATCTGCGAAAGACCGACAAAGCTGTTATTCTTGCGATGATGATCCGTGGTTTCCAAATGGGATCGCTTTTTGGATGTAGCATCGATGTGAGTGATATGTATCGAGCCTAAGGCGGACCTCTGTTACTCCCTTTCTATCAAAGTAGCAATCACGCTGCTTCTAAGACGCCGTTAGCAGTTCTGACGGGCATATCGTGAGCTGTCTCGAATATGTGAGCGTCTAGCAGTATCTTTCATGTACCACTTGTTTGCTTTTTAAATGCAATAACTAATGAAAATAAGTTTGTGTACTAGTCATAATAATATAATAACCTATAACAATACTGTAATGATATGTGTAATACTCAATCTGACAATCAGTTGTCTGTATGGAACCTTATCATCCCTCCATCTATTCATGAAAAGCGATTGTAGCGCATTCTGTTTCGTGAATAACTTCATTATCTCAACAGCCTGGTGAATCTTTTAGTTTTCAGGGCGATCCTCATCAAAATTCAGTTTTCAGGCTGATCCTCATCAAAAGGAAGCACCTCTGGATAATGGTCTTGTTCGAGGTCATGCATACAGTATCACTGCTTTGCATACCGTATCCGGTCCCAATGGAGAAACTCCTTTGGTTCGCGTACGAAATCCATGGGGAAATAGCAAGGTACTCCATCCTACGGTTCCGAGTTTGTTAGGGTACTATAGGCATTTTTAAGGAATGGAATGGACCGTGGAGTGATGGATCATCAGAGTGGAACTATGTGGACAGCCAGAAAAGAGCCGAATTGGGTGTGGAATTCGCTAAGGACGGCGAATTCTGGTAATTTCTGCTGCTTCCATATCCCATTACCTCACCTCCTTTTTGAAAATAATACACGATCAACTCGAGTTTGCGATCCCTCTGTACTTGTGAAATAGACAGTCAAAAGGTAACGGGTTGTGCAGCCCGTAAAGGTAGAGCAGGGTTCTATTGAAATCACCATCAGTGCTTGCCTCTCCGCAACGCAGGCTTTGGAGTGATATCCCACTGATATTTGCATCTTTTCGGCTCGGACCTATTCTTCTTTGTCGTCTAATCTCTCATCTGTGAGCCAATATCAGACTTTGCGAATCGAGCGAAATGCTCGATTCGCAAAGTCTGACATCGGCCGTGTAATGCCACAAACCAGTTTCGAAGGGAAGTATTTTTTGGTGTCGTCGACAATTTCTACTTTTTTATTTCTTCTACTATCAGAATTCCACGGATCTCTTTCACTGAGGGTCCTCTCTCACTGAAAGATCTCGAGCCGGTTGGTGGCGAGGCTACGTGGCGCGACCCCAGGTGGCGGATAGGGGGTAAATCGCGGACCAAAAGCCACCATGTACTTGCCCTGAGACGCAGGTGGATTCAGGGGATGGACTCCCTGTTTCTGTAGTGCTGTGTTGATTCATACCAGCTGTCTCCACTCAGGCGCATCCATGCATGCTTGCGTGTGTGGTGCGCTCTGTGTGTGTGCGGTTGGTATCCTGCATGTCGGCACAGCCAAAAGCTTGCATTCAAGTGACTGGGAAGTACATGGGAGGCGATTCGGGGCCGCCTCCAAAAATAAGCCCCTTGTTCCGCTCCAGGATAGCGTGGCTAACTACCTGGAGGTCTATCCTAGCCCGCACGACAGAGCCTGGCAAGCTACTCGTGTGCCTTCAATATGCCGAAAACAGCAATATGGATGGGCCTCATTCCCCTGAACCTGAGGGAGCCCCCAATACGGCAGCGTTGGGTAGGACCGCTCGGGAGAGGCTGCTAGAATCTCAGGGCCCGGATAGGCTGCCTAAACGAAGAAGGACTAAGATGGCGATCTGTACTTTCAACGCACGAACGCTTGCATCCGAAGCTCACATCGAAGATCTGATGATGCAGGCCAGGAAGATCAAGTACGACGTCATCGGACTGACCGAGACGAGAAGGCACCGCCCGCTACACGCCGTTTTCGATACTGGAGAAGAACTGTTCCTTGGAACATGCGACAGCAGAGGCGTTGGTGGTGTGGGTGTCCTCGTCAACACGCACTTGGCCATAAACATCGATTCGTACGAAAGCCTTACGACCCGAATCGGACGTTTGAGATTGAGAAGATGTGGTTCAACTCCTGCTTTGACAATCTTCGTCGCCTACGCACCAACATCCAGCTACGACGAGGAAGAACACGAAGCATTTTATATGGAATTGGAGAAGTTCTACAGGGAAGATCATACCTTCTTCAAGGTCATCGTCGGCGACTTCAACGCTAAGATTGGCCCAAGAAGAACGGCTGAAGAACTTCACATCGGTACTCACGGAATGGAATGGAATGAGCAGGGTGAGAGACTGTCGGAGTTTATCATGTCGACCAACACCATCCATGGTAACTCACAGTTCCAAAAGCCCCTCACCTTCGTTGGACTTGGGAGTCACCTGATGGACAGTTCCATAACGAGATAGACCACATCATCTTCAATCGAAGGTTTTGCCTGACCGACGTCGCTGTTGTTCCGAAGTTCTACACGGGATCGGACCATCGTCTCCTCCGCGCAAAGTTCCACTTTTCGATGCGTGTTGAGAGAGCCTCGAAGTTCAGGAAGCGAAGCCCCAGGACAGTCATCAACTGGGATCACTTCGCTTCCCTCGTCAGCTTATGGGAGGATTCCGTCATCGAAAACATCGACGAGGAGTACTATCGGCTCGTTGAACATCTTCACGATTGTGGCAAGAAGGCAGAGAGTTTGAAAGTCACCAAGGGACGTCTGTCTCCGGAAACTCTCGAACTGATACGCCAGCGTGGAGCCGCACGAGCTGCAGGCAATCACCGACTCACGTCCGAGCTTGCGAAGCTATGCAGAGAGGCGATAAAGGAAGATCTCAAGGAGCGAAGAGCAGCAGTATTAGCTGAAGCAGCAGAGGCTGGGAGGAGCATCCGCAATGCCCGCCGAAGCTTTGCCAGCTACAAGACCAAGATGACCTGCCTCCGACGTCCGGATGGAACAGTTACTGCATCCCGAAGGGCAATGGAGAAAGTCATCCACGACTTCTACTCGGATCTCTTCGATAGCCATGTCCATCTGCCCACTTATCAACTGCAACAGGATGGATACGTTCCCCTCAGTTCTCTCTTCCGAAGTCCGACACGCCATCAAGTCGGTGAAGAATCGTACAGCACCCGGTCTCGACAGGGTCAAACCGGAACATCTGAAGAATGCGCCGCCAGTTATCATCAAAACTCTGGCTCGACTCTTCACGCGCTACCTGTCGGAATGCAAGGTACCCACTCCGTGGAAAACCAGCAGGACCGTGTTGCTGTACAAGAAGGGAGACCTGGACGACATTGGCAACTATCGCCCAATCTGCCTGCTGTCTGTAATCTACAAGCTATTCACTCGAGTCATCCTTAACAGGATCGGCAGAATACTAGATGAAGGACAGCCATGCGAGCAAGCAGGGTTTCGAAGAGGGTTCAGCACGATCGACCATATCCACACGGTTACAAGACTCATTGAAGTTTCACGAGAGTACAAGATGCCGCTTTGTCTCACGTTCATCGACTTGAAGAAGGCCTTCGACTCTGTGGAGACAGAAGCGGTCATCGAAGCCTTGGGCAACCAGGGCGTCCCTACTCAGTACATCAAGATTCTTCGTGAGCTCTACAGCAACTTTACGACCAGAATCTCACCATTCTACAAGGAGGTCATCATCGACGTCAAGAGAGGGGTTCGACAGGGCGACACCATCTCGCCCAAACTCTTCAGCGCCGCTCTCGAGAACGTCATGCGTCAACTGGAATGGGAAGACATGGGAGTGAAGGTCGACGGCCGGCAACTACACCACCTTCGTTTTGCTGACGACATCGTTCTTATAACGCCGAACATCGAGCAAGCGGAGCGAATGCTGGCTGATTTCGACTGCGCCTGTGGTAAGGTTGGTCTACAGCTGAACCTAACGAAGACGATGTTTATGAGAAACGGATTGGTTCCTGATGCCCCATTCACGCTCAACGGAACGAACATCACCGAATGCTCCAGCTACGTGTACCTAGGTCGGGAAATCAATATGATGAACGATCTAGCTCCAGAGCTGAGCAGGAGGAAACGAGCGGCTTGGGGAGCGTATAAGAACATCGAGGGAGTAGTGAAGAAGACGAAGAACATCCGGCTCCGTGCCCACCTCTTCGATTCCGCTGTCCTTCCTGCCCTAACCTACGCCTCAGAGACTTGGACTCTGCGCAGGCAGGACGAGCATGCGGTCAGCGTTATCCAACGCGCTGTCGAGAGGACGATGCTAGGAGTAACCCTATACACGCAAGTGCAGAGGGGAATCCGGAGTTCCGAACTACGCCAACGATCGAAGATCAGGGACGCTGCCGTTTTCGCCAAGGAATCGAAGATAAGGTGGGCCGGACACGTCATGCGATTTTGCGATGACCGTTGGACCAGAGCGGTTACCGACTGGATCCCTCGGGACGTCAAACGAACACCTGGACGACCGCCGGCCCGATGGTCAGACTTCTTCACGAAAGCTCTGAACGAAAGGAATGAAGGACATCGTCCCTCGAGCGAGGAGGGTCCACTGGACAACTCTTGCACGCGACAGGGACGAATGGAGACGTTGCTGGCGCCCGCTCGAGCAATTCGATGATCAACGGGACGACAGGTGATACAGGTGATACAGGTGAAGATTCAGTGTGGGGGGGGTTCATTTTATCTAGAACTCCAGTAATGGCAAAAATACCTTTGAATACTTTGCGTAAAAGTAAACATCACAGAATTTCGGCAGCTTCGTTCGAGGTTTTCGTTTCCCTCTGGCGAACGCTCCATACTTCGGCCGCTGTAGGAATGGATAAATGAGACCTAAAATCTTCATATGTCTTTAAAGAACTATAGATTTTTTACAGGATGTCATTTGATGACTTCTATACCAATTTTATGCAGATGGAAATTTGTAATCTCTCGGCGGCTGTGATGAACGAAGTCTCGGAAATGACTGGGGTAAGCGGGCATTTCTGGAAATATTTGTGGCCATATTTCGGTTTTTGAACTTGGTAATTTGAATCGCGGGTTTTTGAACTTGGTATATTTCAAATCGCGGTGATTACAGGTGGAAATTTCTGATCCACAGCTCCATCAGTGGGAGGAAAAAGCTGAGGACGGCGAATGGAGCACACAGAAAGGAACCGCGGGCGGTTGTGCAAATAGTCCTGGTAGGCAATCAAACGTTTTTTTCTGCCTTGATACGAATTTATGAAGCGAGAGAGGAATGACAGTAGAGTGGGAGTGAAGAGGTAGAAGAGAATTTATGAAGAATGTTCTTGCCACTGTAAAAAGATTCTGGTCGGCTTTTATCAGCCCAAAAATTCATTATGAATGAGTTCTGAGAATTTCGGAATCGAGGCCGAGTTAGGAACTTGAGCTCTTTGGAGGAAAGTGAGGAACCTGAGGTCTTCAGAAGAAAGTGCAATTCCGCGGAGAGGATCGCTGCAGATCGTATCCTTCATGATTCATGTGGTGGGCCACGTAAAAGAAAAGGTGGAAACATTCGGCGTTGATCAATCCCTTTTGGGATGCGGCACGCATTCTACTTCCATTTCACATTCGTAGTGGCATTTGAATGCGATGTGGCCTATACAATGACTTGCGGGGGCCAGCCGATGTACAAGTCAGTGTTTTTATCCTCCCAGACAAGTCTGGTACCAATTAACCGACCCCGGAGGGATGGAAGGCTTGGTTGGCCCGGGCGACTCACGACCCAGGATTTGATCCCGGACCGCTGCGCGTGGTAAGCAGCGCCACTTGCCACTGTCCACCTGGATATGAACCGTACAAGTAAAAAAATATTACATGTTAATAAAATGACACGCCATGTCTTCATCAATTATGCGTGCTTGTGGGTTCCTTTGAATGGGCGGGGGAACTGTAATGAGCCACCTGTGAACGCAAGCCGTTGCAACGTTGTCAGCTTTTAGTATAGTCTCCTTTTCGAAATCTGCTTGTAATTCGTATTGTGCCTCTGGATGGGAGGCTTTCAGTACCAACAATGTGGGGGGCAAGGAATGTGGACAACG